CGGGGCCGCGCTCCTTTAAGAGGGGGCTGGGCTGCCGGTGACCCCCGGTGATCTCCGCCTCTTCCTGGTTGCCATGGCCGCGGCGTCTCAACATGGCGTCTCTGCTGCAGGAGGAGCTGTTCGAGAGGCGCGGGCAGGCGCCGGCCCCCAGCAAGGACTTCTGCCAGCTGCTCGTCACCCGCCGCCAGGTGCGCGCTCACACCGGCACCGGGACCGGCCTCCCGGCGTGTGCGGCGGCCTGAGCCCTGCTGCGGCACTGGGAAGGGGTGGGGGGAGCACCAGGCCCACCAGGCCCAGCTTCTGGGTCGTGCCCAGTCCTTCCAGGAACACCCAAGTTCAGAGTAAGAGGCCTCAAATAAGAAGCCTAAGAGCCAGTTCTAGGGAAATAAGGGTAAATCCTCTCATTGCAAAAAGAGGTTCTGCCTGTTTTCAGTATGTTACTTGAAAAGGTTTTGGTGTTTCTGGTTGTGTACAAGGCTGGTTTTCAGGTGAAGGGAAATGAGTAGGGTTAAAATCCCTGGATGAGATTCCTCAGGTTTTGAAGATATGTTCTCTACTTAAACAGCTAAAGAGCTTATTGGAAGATTCATGAGTAACTAATTTAAAATTATTTTCTACTGAGGGATATCTGTTATTAAAAAATGACCCCTGACAAATCTTAATATGAATTTGTAAGAATGAAAAAGTAAAATCATAACTTTTACTTTTTTTTTTATTTCACTTTGACCTAAGGTTGACTGAAATGATTTGTATGTATAAGAAATGAACGTGGATTTCTTTATATATATATATATATATATATATTTAGGTTAAAAATTAATGGCTCAGAAGTTATAAATATCTAAAATTAAGAAAGACTTAAAATGTCTTAGAGGAGCCAGAAAACCTAAAGTATTTGGAAGTTAGGGGAAAAATTGGGATTTCTTTTCTCTAAATAAACCAAAAGGACGCACAGATGATGTGGATCTGCAATTGGGACAATAACAAGAGGATTATCATTATCATGAAGTTAGTATAATTGAAAAATAATTATTTTGGATGATTTGGAAAAAAAAGTGCTTTGATTCTATGATATTAAGACTATTCAATTATGATGCCGTAAACACAAATATTTGGAGAAAATATGATCCTTGTATATTCCGAAGCTTCCTTGTCAGGGTCCAGCAAACTTCCTAATTTAATAATAGTTATTTTCAGAAATAATTAATGCAGGTAAATTCAGACAAATTTTTACAGCCTTAACCGCTGTGGACATAAAACTTGGGATGTTAGTTAGCCTTTCTGTAGGCTTGGGGGTCTCCCAAGAAGAGGTCTGTGACAAAAATAGTAGTTCATAGCATATACATCAGTGAAGTGCCAAGTTATGTATTGTGTAGAACGTATTGAGGAGTCTCACTCATTGGTTTGTGTTCCCAGTGTGTTCTTCTGTAGTCTTCCAATAAATGATAAGTCACTGCCTGAAAGACCTTACAGTCTAAGCTTCCAACCTTACACATAGTTATATGAATTGTAAACTTTGCTACTTTGAATAGTCCCATTCTTCTAAATCAATGTGTTCAAAACAGCCCATTGTGTATTTAAAAAAAGGAGTGTGTAGCTGCATGGTGGATTTGTCTGAAGGCTCCCACATTTCTGTGAGTGTGCCTGCTGTGGATTGCCTCCCTGGGCTCTATATGAGCAGTAAATGCTACCCTTTTAGGGGTGAAAGTATTAATTTAATGGGCATGTGTTATACAGTTACAGAGCGTCTACCTGGGTCAAGGACAGAATGTTCAGCTATCTGTTGGCTAACAGGTCATAGAATTTTAGAACTGGAAAGTGTATGAATATAGAATGTCTTTAGAGTTTGTTAGGACAAATTTTCATTTGGACAAGAAGGCCATATCTGGGAAGAAACAGGTGGTGTGGGGCACAGCCGCGGCAGGCTTTGTCTTCCAGCAATCCCTGGGAAATTCCTCCTTCACTGAAGCAAACTGACATTTTTATTTATTTTTTTTTCCATATGTTAGGGATGTCCTACAGAAGGTATTTTTAAAGTCTGGCTACTGCCTCATGATCAGAGCAGGAGAGCCAAGCTGCTAGGTATTGCATAATCAAAAATTAATTATTTGAGATTTCTTTAAGTTCAGAAAAAAAGAACAGCTCTAAGAACAGTTTCAGCAAACGTTTAAGTGCTGACTTAAGTTCAGAGCAACAGTCAAAGCATATACAGGAGACAAGAGTATAATACTGCATGCACACACATTCTCAGCATGTGACTTATGTTGTTCCTGCAAAAATATGCCTATGTTTATGAGCCTATGTTTATTTATTACTCTCAATATTATCATTTGCAGTAGTGACAAGGTGTGCTGCATGTTTGTGCAGCAACCCGATAATGCAGAGAAATAGGGACATCCGAAAGAAAGAAAGCAAGGCTGTTGCTCCTGCTGCCTGTAAACAAGATATTGGAAACAGAAGTGCAGACTACTCTGAGCTTTTTATCTGATCAAATTAAACAGTAGTTTGAAAGGGAGGGAAACAACCAGAAATTCACCCACTGGTCTACATGGATGTATTTGTGGCCAAAGTGTTACCTGAAGTTTCTACAGACCCTCTTGGTAACTTTATTTTTATCGAGTAAGGGAGTTCTTCCATCCCAGAAACAAATCTAACTACATTTCAAATATATAGGTGTTAATGAAGGCTTTCCAAATAAATGTATTAATTACTCCCGAGCCAGGATACGCTTTTTGTAAGAAGATAGGAAGGGAAAGTTATGAAAGAAATGAGGCAGCTCACTTCTGCAAAAGGTCCATTGGGGGAGGAATTAGAAGGAGTAGGGAGCTTACAATTTATTACAGATGACTTTACTAAAAGTAAACTACTGAGAAACAGAGGGGCCCATGTGAGTATTTACAGCATACACCTCAAGCAGGTAGACTGTAAAGGAGAGAGTTGTTGAACCATTGGCAAAAAGGTGGTGTGCATGTGTTGTTTTTTTGTTTGTTTGCTTATTTTTCAAGTAGTTTGTTTTTAAGGTTGCAATGGTTTTACAAATGCTGGGAAACTATCCCACATATTCCTCCTGTGTGGGCACCCACTGCAGAAATGTAAAACTGAGAGAGACCTATAAAGCTATCAAGTCATAGTCCCTGCTGTTTCATCCAGGCACATAATAGAACTTCCTAGTACAGATGGCACTTGATGAGTTTCAAGGACAGCAAGGCTCTCGTCTCACGAGTCCTCATGGAACAAATGCTCCATATTACTCCTTCTCTGATGGCTAGAAATGCAGTTATACTAACTGATGTACAGCTTGTGTGTATGCATGGCTTTTAGACTGTTCTTCTTTTTAGACTGTTCTTCTACTGTATTTATCTAGTATTTGTCTAGCAACATGCTGCTTTTTTAATAATTATGTCATTTTGTTTTTTTTTTCTTTGCTTTTTTTTCTTTTGTCTGACTAAACCAACAATTATGTTTTGGTTTTCAGGCTCTGCTTGTGAAATGGATTCTATTTCCTGGGCACTCTAGTGTCTTTTCTTTCCGTTTCTTCCTGTTATGACTCTTTTTTGTTTTTCTTCTCTCTCAGCAGTAGCAATGAGCTCTTATGAGTACGTTGTGCAAAGCCTGGGTCTTCTGGAAAAAAATCTGTGATCTGAATAGTAAGATTGTATTATTCTTTTTTTTTTCCTACCAAAATCACGTTAGTGATTCTTGATCATCCTCTGACCAATTATTATGTTAACATCTTTCTCTGCCAACTTCAAGTTTATAAGGTTTTGGGTTTTGGTTAATGACAGAAATTACTCTTGCTAAATGAATGACCTTGCCACTTGTACTTTTCAATTTCATACCACTTCCTTCTCCAATATGCTGCTGCTGTGCTGATATACAGGTGTTCCATACAAGAAGGACATTGAAAAGAGATATCTTCATTTACTGATTCTTTTTTTACTTTGTATTGTGGAAGAATGTTGAAGTCTTATTATTATTGCAAAAGTGCTTTGAGTTACTATGAAGGTGTACAGGCCATAATAAACATAGTTTACAAAAAGAAGATGCTTGTCCATAAAATCCTCGTTTATGCTAAGAATGCATAGTATTTGTTTTGAGTGTATAGAAATTTCTGTAGAACAGGAGTATTTCCTGTTGTAAAAGTGCCAACAAGAAGGAGAGTTGTTTAGCATGTGCCTTGCATCTGTCTTTCTTCATGCTTATTCTTCAGTCACTCTTGAAATGTCAAATCAATTTTTGATATGCCAGTTCTAATTTGTCAAGGTTTATTACAAACCACAATGGACTTTATTTGTTGGCATAAAGTGTGCAATAAAATGATAACTTCCAACATTAAATATGAGATGACATTAAAAAAAAAACCCTTCCAAATTAAAATTTCTTGTGAATTGTCGAATTGATTATAAATGCAGGTTTTGAAAATTGCAAGATAGAGGAATCCAGATGGTAGACTAGTGTAGAAAAGACTGGCCATTTATTTCAGTCAAACAAGGAATGGGCAAGAGGGGGGAAAGTCTGGTGCTTAATCTGCTTATAGGACAGGCTGGTAACTGGAAAGATGAGGCTGAAAACAAAAGGAACATAATGGGAAAATGATCTACTAAAAGTGTAATTAATACTAGCATCTGTCACCGTTTAACAAATACTGTACTAAGCAGAGGATTGTGTTGTGTTAGTAAAATGTTTAGCTACTTAATTGTAAAAGAATTGCAATATATGTATACAAAGACTAATGTTCTATGCAATATGTTGTATATGATCTACTTGTGCAACGATTGGAATAAGTGTGTTTTACCAAATATAATGCCAAGTAGACTTGTGCATGTGGTTGGAGATTAGCAGCTAGATCATGTATTTCTAACAAATACATACACTATTTGCTCAGCTAGCTGTCCTGTGTATAATAACTAGGCAAACAGTTCTGATGATTCTTCTTGTTCTTTATCCATCGCTGCTCCTATTGTCTATTGTTCACATACCTCTTAAATAGCTTCTTTTTTTTTTTTAAATCGGTATTCCAAGCATAGCATAATATGATGGAAGAATAAAGATGTTTTCTAGCCTTTTTAGTTGTAAACAAAAATTATGAACCTGCAGCACTTACATCTCAAATCACTTAAATCATTTTTCAAAAAAAAAATAGTCAGATATTTATGTTTGTTTTTCTTAAATCCTGTAAGTTTCCAAA